TGTGACCAAAAAATGGATTGGATAAGACAAGTTAGTATAAAAATTTATTATTCTTGTAGTCTTTTATAAATTTTAGTATTATTTATACCAGTTTATAGTTATTTGTTTTAGTCAATTACAGCATTTAGATTATTTGTTGTAAAATTAACTGTAACTACAAAGGATTTTTTTGTTTATAATATCTTCACACTGCAATTTTACCCCAATAATTCTATCCACATCCTATTTTATGCTATTAACATGATTTTTGTTTGTATACTTACTGTAGCATAAGAGCTATGTCATTGGTTATATGCCAGTCTTTGACCGAAATAAAATTGATTGAGCAACACTATGAAATTGACACTTTTATTTTTTGTTCCTTTTGTAATGATTGTTGCATGGAATTTCTGTCTTTTGCAGCTATCAAGTGCAGCATTTATTTTCCTGGTGAAACCCCTTTCCTGTACAGTTGCTTCCAGTTGAAATCCCACTTGTATGTGTGTTTATACAGCTTTGTCTCAGCATGCATCCTTTTATACAGTACTTGCTAATAATGAATTGCACTTGTTATTATAATAGGCATTCCTCCAGTTTGGTGAAATTCTTTGGGTATTTGGTAATACTTAAAACTTTCTGGGAACTTTGTATCAGTTTTGAAAACCGAGGGAACCGAAGCTTGCAAAAGAAGTGATTTTCCAGCAAGTAGATATAAAAGCTTTGAGCACAATACAATTTACTGCAAAATTGCCAGCCCCTTCCCCCACCCCTAATGCTTCACTTCCAAAATGTAAGATATTAATGGCCCACCTCAAAGAAAGGAGGCATTTTATCAGAAAGGCAAAGAGGCAAATCAGAAAACGAGGGAGGGATTAGATGAAAAACTGGCACAGCATTTGGTTCAGCTTTCTTCACGGAAATCTAAATTCTTGATAACAAACTACAGACGAGGTGGAAATTCCAATACCCATGAAGGGTATCATGGGCAATTAAAAAAAAAAAGTTGGTATCCCGTGGATTATAAAGCCAGGATTCAACATAAAAGAAAATAAAGAACCAACAGGATTCGGGGCCTCGATGTATGCAAGGAAGAAAAAGAGTAACAGGGCACCGACGTACCTCAGTCCGGCGATACAGGGTGGCCTCACCGAACGCCCCCCGACCCAGAACCCTTATAGGGGCATAATGCAATTCCTCCTGCTCGCCTCCCAAGCTCGGGCCAGGACGGGGGCTGCTCCTGCTGGACGAGTCGCTCCCGAAGTCGGAGTTGATGGAGTCGTAATGTCTCTCGTACTGGTTCAAAGACATGGCTGCCCCGCTACCGCTTCCCCGAGATCTAAGAAGGGAGCACTCAGGGGAGCAGAGGCGACCAAGGGTTGCGGCCCCTCACACGGTGATGGTGAGCAGCTTCCTGCTATTATTGCCGCCGCCGCCGCCGCCAATTCAGCGGAGCTCTGGCTGTGCGCAGGCGCGCACCCCTCTCCTGGCCTCAATCTGGGAGAGCCACCCGTTCTCCGGACTGCCCGTTTCCCCGGCTCCCCTGAAGCTCATTAGCCCCCAAGCGCAGCAGGTCGGCTACGGCTTCCACTGACCCGGAACCATTTCTGCCCCGCCGCGCCCCCTCAAAGACGGAAGGTCTCTCCACCGAGCCCTGCAGCGCGAAGGAGAAATGGGGCAGCCGGGAAAGCGCGAAGGGAGAGGGGCGGGGAGTCGAGGAAGCGCTTTGGGAAAGCGAGCTGGGCACCGTCCGAGAACTTTCTCCTATTGTCAGAGGCGACTGGGACCTCCGCCCGCCTACGCGCCGTTGGCAAAAACGAGGAAAGCTCTGGGACTAGTTATGCCGCAGCAAGATGTTCCGAAGCACACGCCAAGAACGCCGACTGGTAACCGTGGGAGGTGAGAAAGCCAGTGGTCGTGACTGAACTCCGTTGAACTCCAAGTAAAGCAAGACGTAGAGCCTGAGAAGGGGTGGAATGGGTCGGAGGGAGACGACGGAGAGGCTGGGAGTCCTGTGCTCCGAAATTTGCAGCCGTTGTGTTAGCAATTTTCACTGCAAAATGTACGACAGAAGTGCCGATTCTTAGGAGCAGGTAGAGTGGACAAAAAAGACTTTGGTAATTAACACTTTCAGAAGTAGAAAGTCTATTTCAGAATTCAGTGATTTTTAGCGAAAATGAGCAGAGCTGTATTGTCATCTCAGTGAGGCAATAACAACATGAGTATTAACTACAAAGAAAAATGGAGTGTTCTAACGCTAACCTTTATAACCGCTTATAATTAAAAGTGCTAGGCACTACTACCACATTGGATTGATTGGGACTGGAATTGCTAAAGTGTAATGTCCTGTGACCATGTCATCTAGTGATGGCAGTCCTGGTTGCCATCGTTAAGCAAGGACCGTGCAAGTCATTAAGGAAAGACCTCAGGTGAATTCCAACTTCCTGCCGGTTTCCCAGTTAACTTTGCTTGTGGGAAGCTGGCAGGGAATGTTGTAAATCGCAACCCACATGACTGACTTGCTGCGACAGCGTAATCGCAAGCTCAGCACCCAGATTGAGATCACATGACTGTAGGAATGCTGTGAGGGCTGGAACTCCAAGGACCAGTTGTAAGTCCCCCTTGTTCAGCACCATCATGACTTTGTACGATCGCTGAACAAGTGGTTATAACCCGAGGACTACCTGTACCGGAAAATAGGTAAATCAACAAATCAAAACTGATAAGGGGTTGCTGCAGACTATACCAAAGGATGCTGCTTTGGGGATATTAGGTCTTCCCCTCCCCCACAGGTATCTTAAACAAAGCAGGGTTTTAATATAAATTGTTCCCCGTTCTTGAATAAATACCAGAGGGAGGTAAATGGAGCCACTTACTCTCATTCCTCTAAAGCAGTCTTCCTTGACCTGACATTCTTTCAGAGATGCTAGGACTACAACTGCCAAAATTCTTATCCAGCATGGCTAAAAGCAGTTCCATTACATCTGGAAGACACCAGGAAAGGGAAGGTTTCTTTACATACTTTAAAGGATTTGATTTTGGATCTCTTTCCTTGACAAACTGCTGAGAATAGGTGCAGTCTCATGTTTCTGTGGCCAGTAAAATAATAATTTTAAAGAGAGCCAGTTATAAATTCCTGAGAAATTCCTGGCTAGTTTTCCATAGACAGAACCCCCAAAAAGGATTAAGAATTCATACTCCATGGAATATGAAGTCTATTCCTTATTCAAACTATTACTATTATCTAATTAGTTTTGCAATTTTTACATGCTTAAATATTCAAGCAAATAATGTGATTGAATATACTGAGAATGTACCTTTTTAAATATCTGACAGGTGGTACTTTAAAGTGAATTTACATTTCACTAAAACAGTTGTTTACACTGTTCAAAATATTAAAGATACATTTAAAGCATCCTAGTTTGTGGTCTACATTACAGCTTATTAGTGGAAAAATTAGAACATACAAAATGACAACACTTTAATGGCTGCACGGGCCTGTCAGCAGATTAAAATTTCCCTAAATACTACGGATCTCTGAAGGGACTGCATTGCATACTCCTTTATTATTTGCTACTCCCCTTTTCCTCGTATATGAAACTTAAAAAGTGCTATGCGCGTTGGAATTTGTAGTATATCTCAGACTTAAGAATTCCTTCAAATGAAACTTTTCCACAAGTCTTCATGCATGAAAGTGTACATAATTTGTTCAAAGTGGTGTACAAGTTTTTGTGGGCTATTAAGAGTTATAAATAGGGAGACTGGAAAACTGATAGAACATATTTCAGTGAAACAAATGTAAACCATACCTATGTGCTAATTTTACATGGTATGTAATTGAAGCAACAAGGCCCCCAAAGAGTACCCATTTCCCCCTCAAAGGTTTATAGACAAACACTCAAGGTGTATGCATACATAAACCAAACTCTACCTTGGTTACTTCCTGTCTTCCCCAGAAGAAACACTCACACAGAACAGGTATTGATTTAAACCAAATCAGGCATGGTAGACGTGCAATGACTTCCACAGTGCATCTTCTTACATTACAGCCTTATTTTTAGATGAATCTAGTTTCACAGATGAGCCTACAGATACTGACCTTCACCACCCATCATGTTACCTTTAACAATATAATACTTTCACTGTGTTTGTACAATTTTCAACAAGTATCTTCCAATACTCTAAAAAGTAGCTGTCAGATATTTTTAGACTTGAAAGACAATTTAATTAAACAATTAAGTGTATCTAGGACTTTATTTAGAGCTTGTATGATGTTTTGATTTAGTTGCAGCTTATCCAGATTCAATTTACTGGTTATCTGTAATGCACTCTACATGGGGCTGCCCTGGAAGAGTATCCAGAAGCTTCAGCTGGTACAAAATGCGACAATACGGGCAGCTATGTGTGGCCCTAAGAGGACACATTACACCTCTGCTTCGTGCACCAATTCAAAGTGTTGCTTATGACCTTTAAAGCCCTACATGGCATGGGACCAGGTTATCTGAGGGACCACCTCTTCCCGATTATATCTACCTGTCCTATCAGGTGCTGCAGGAGAGGCATGCTGCAGGTCTCATCTGCGAACGAATTCCATTCGATGGGACCTAGGAGGTGAGCCTTTTCTGCTGTGGTATCCACCCTTTGGAACATCATCCCTCCCAAGGTGAGGTTAGCCCCAACCCTCATGGCCTTCTGGATAGCCCTTTTCTTTAACAAGCCTGGGGATCCCCTGGTAATAGGGAGCCCACAGGTTGGCTGTATTATGTGTAATATTCTCCCGCTTGTGGTCTTGTTTTTACCTTTGTTTACTGTTTTAATTGTTTTTCATTGGTTTTGTAGTATGTTTTAATAGTAGGTTTTATTGTACGCTGCCCAGTGTCACTGCATGTGAGATGGGCAGCCATATAAACTTGACAAATAAATAAATCTATTCAATTAACAGACTTTGGAATGAAATAATCATTACATTACATTAGATAAAATGTAAGAGTTCAAACAATTTACAGAAACATTACTTTGAAGAATAATTTCCCCAAAAATAATTTTATTGAGAAAAAGTCAAAAATCCCCAACCAGATTACAGATAAAATTAAATTTGCTTTACTTACTTTCATCTATACCACAACAGTTAGGAGCAAAGACATTAATGTCATGAAGGCAAAATTATTGCATATATCACGTCATCATGTCACCTACCAAAAGATGCTAATTCCTGATTTGCTAAGAAGTGATAAAAGAATGAGTAAAAAGATATCACTCCAAAACAGTTTCTTTTTCTTTAAATGTTGAAATTCCTACTAAAATCTAAATAAGGTCCATCTGAGGTAAGCACCTCATCTTCTAAAGCATAATTTTCCATCACATATCAGGTTGCAATTCCTTCCAAATATTTACAGAGATCTCTCCAGAAAAAACATCTTCAGATCTGAATCTAAAATCTGTGAATGCTTTTGCAAGCAAAATTACACTGCGGGAGGAACAAGTCGAAGAAGAAAATTATTAAAAATACCACAGCTTTTTCATATCAGTATAATATCCTACATTTAATATAGTTTCCTTGACAGGACTACTTTATTTTTGCACCATACTTTGAATATTTAAAAAACAAGTTATTTTTGCTTTGTTAAGAAAGTGGGATTTTGGGAGAGTAGTAGTAAGCTGGGTACACAACAGGCATCCTTCTGTTTCTAGAGCCAAAACAGGGTAGGATAAGCCTTTTTGTCAATTTATTTAATATTTTCTAAAACAGTAGTACTGGGGCTTAGTAGTTTAGATTAGAAAAGGACTCTGTGACTGTTTAGCCTAATAAGCTGCTGTCAATTAATGAGCTAAAGAAGTTTCTCTGCATGGGAACCAAACACTGCATAGCAGTTTAGAAGCAAGTTCTCACCCCCACCTATTTTTAAAATGAACATGGGACTGAACAGATGTTGTGCTGGCCATATAGAATCAATAAGTGGGATTTACAAATATGTCAAAACATATTTTTGCCACTGATGTAAGCCTTGAAACTTCTAAAGCCTAAGAAAAATGCAAACACTTTGAAAAAGAACTGCAGATTATGCAAACTGATTGTTCTATATAGTACATCCCAATACATGGATGCAAGATTATAAGCATCTGACTATAAGCGGATTTAAATCTGTCCAGTGCAAGTCTGATACAGATCAAGTAGTAGTTTTACTTTTTATTTTTGACAAAAGATGTGCTAAATGTTGAAAGGAAGAAGTAAAGAAAAAAGAAAAAGCATGCATTTCAAGTATATGTCAGGGAAAAGCTTATGATTAAATAAATGACCTCTGACTCAAGGTGCTTTTTAAAGAACTGTGTCACTTTAGCAGAAATTATGTGAGTATGGGGATAGAAAACCTGAAGAGGCTGTACCTGAAGTCGTCCTTCTGTAATTTAAGCAATGACACCATTTCTGTTATGTCCTTAGGCGTACATAACATAAATATCAAATATTTTCATAGTAAGCTGTCACTGGTCATTCCTCCCCCACCCTTCCTGAAACGCAGCTCCTGATCATTTGCAACTTCTGTTTCTGTGATGTTCTGCTCCAAGTACATCTGAGCCATTCTTTCACCAAACTCCATGTAGTAACAAGTAAGATTGGTTCAGATATATCACATTCTGTGTATTGAAGTGGCATAGGTGAGCAGCTTAGTGACATGTAAGATAACATTATTTAACCATACATGTAAAGAAAAAAAATGACAGGTCTGAGACAATTTTATTTAATTCCTGTCCAAAAATTCTCAAAATCAACCTATTGCCCCTTCCAATTCTATCCAATAATAGTTCTGAATTTCCTCCTCAGTTTCTGTGCCAATATTTCCCTCCCTCCATCCCTTTGGTGGGCAATTGTAGAAAAAGTTCGTTTTTGCAGGTCAACTCCAAGATGGCTCTCAATAACCATTGCTAGGTCTCTGTGCTGCTCCCTGGGGTGTCAAAACAAGGGAAAATTACACCTCCCTGCTATTCAATCAATTTCTTAGCCTTGAAGAAACGCCGCAGGTAAAAGACTTGCCAAGTTGCCAGTCCAATGAGGCAGAACATTGAGAAAATGCTGAAGTATAGTACCCGAATGTTGGTAGACTCTGAAACAAAAAAGCCCATTGTTAAAAAAAAAAAATCCAAGAAAATTTGAATCCCACAAACAGTCTACTACGTTTTCATTTGAAGCACTGATATAAAAATTATCACTAAAAAAATACTACAGCTGTTTGAGTTCAGTGGACAGGAAATAATTCAAAAATTTTCATTCAACAAATATAATTCATAATCTTAGCTTTCATAACAACTGCATTTGAAAATGACACATGCATTGTCAATAAATTGTCCTCAAAATTATGCTTTGCTTATACCCATTGCCTCGTTGATCCTATAACTCTTCTACTGAATCACACTCCTCTCTAGAAAGGAAGAGTCTAAATTCTAGAATAGACGATGAATTCTAGAATCAGATATAAAGCATGCTATAAAGCATGCACACAAGTCACTACTATGTTTTATTATTTTGACCACGCGTCCCAAATACAGAATGTGACTGTTCTTAGAACTAGATATGAACACCCCTGACTGTGAGGGTGTGGAACATTTTCCACTGAAAGTGGCAAAAGAAACAGGTTATATTGACATAGCAAAATTAGAGTGTGTTGTAAGAGAACGTGCAGAACGGGGATGTCTTTGTTCAGATAATCCCAGGTATGGGATGGTGAGGGATTGTGAAGAGAAAATTTCTAAAAGCAGGATGGCTGTGGACTATCACTATCACTCTCCTCTATTAAGCACCTGGTGATATTGCTGTTATATTATACAGGTTGGTTCACAAAAAAATGTTACTTCATTCAGAAGACAGTGATCTGACATATATTATCAAGATCTGTGTGGTATAGATTTGATTCAACTCTGCCAACTTGTTTCTTAATGAACAATCTGGGCTGGGAATATGAGGAATCACTGGGGTCCACTGGAATAACTCACTATCAGAAAATTTCTCCAAACCGAGGGAAGCTGATGACCACCTTTATCTGGTTTTGATTCAAAGAAACAGACTAAAGATTTTGTTGGTGTAATGCCCATTCTGCCTCCCTGACTCAGCTGGCAGAGATGTTCACAGGTAGAATGCAGGAGAGCTTCAGAAAAGTGACCCAGAGGCACTTCAACATTCTTGTTAAGGCTGCCTAATAGTAACGGACTAGGTTTTCATAGTCTCTGTGACAACCACGGGTCTATCTAAAACTGTCACTGGACTAACATATTAAGGTAGTGCGTACTCCAAACTATTTTAGCCTCAAAATGTGAAGTGAGTGTCTTGGAACTTTGGAGTGGAAGGTATAATCAGGTCATCCTCTGGTAAATGTTGGTTTCAGAGCATAATTTCCTTTCTGCAAGAATTGGGGACACTTAATGGTACCTTGCTTGGAGAGAGGGACTGTGGAGTCCTTGGGTGTTTTCTGAGCTTGGTTGTTTCCTTGCAAGACGTTTTGTTACCTGACTAGGTAACATCTTCAGTGCTAGAAAGGAGTGGGGTTTGCTCTCTGTTTATGTACAGTAGCTTGCCCTGTCAGTGTTGGAGGGTGTTGTGCTATGGAGTGCAAGGGGGTGCTTTGGGCAGGGAGATGCAGGCAGGGTGTGCTGCATGCAGGGAGTGCAGACATGCACTACGGAGTGTGGGGGGGTACTGCGGGCAGGCACATGCTACTCAGTATGAAAACCCCAGGATCTCATACTACATAGATCCTTGGGGGAAAAACAGTGGGAACAGGAGCGACTTACAAGAATGGCTTGTGACCTTCCCTTCCCCACTGACTTTACTTGTGGGAAGCCAGCAGGGAAGGTTGCAAATGGTGATCACATAATCGAGGGATGCTGCAATTGCTGTAAGTGCAAATTGGTTGCCAAGCACCCAGATCGTGATCACATGACCATGGGAGTACTGGGATGGCTGGCACTTTGAGGACCAATCATAAATACCACTCATTCAGTGCCATCATAACTTTGAATGGTCGCTAAATGAGTGGTTGTTAACTGACAACTACCTGTACTTTTATTTACCCTGGAAAAATCAATAGTGAAGCCTTCAATGCTATGCTGTGACAAATTTGCAAGACACTTTCAGGATAAAAATCACTTGTCCTCAAATAAACTTTTCTGGGTAGGAACAGGCCAGCTACAGCTTATGCTTAGATTACTCTATTGTATTTTTATGGGCAACCCTTGAGACTGGTTCAAAAACTGCATTAGCACATAAAGGAATACAACCATGCACATATTATACAGTACCTCTACCAATGCAACTGTGCCAGATGATAATAAACAAGCAAGCAAAACTGAATACTTTGTTTTGGTATATAAGGCCCCAAACAACTTGGGATTAGTTAACAGAGAGACAACCTTCCCTAGTATAAATGTGGTCAAGCATTAAGTTCATCAAAGATGAAGTCCTGCTGCGTGTGCTAAAACTGACTTTGGGGTCCTGCAGTTACTTGTGGTGAGCCTTCTCTATGCTGATGTCTACATCCTGGAATGCTCTTCCCCACTGAAATTCATCAGGTGCCTATTATTACATCTTTTAGAGACCTCTTTGCCTAGTCCTTCCTTAGATGACTGTCAGGTGTTTATATTTTCTTCTTCCTCTTCACCTTTTTGATATGTTATTGTTTTAATGTATTGTTTTTATCTTGTATTTCCAAACATTTACTATAAATTTTGAAATGCAACTGAATGGGAAGTTATATAGATACATAGTAAATAATTAAATAAAATAATAGAGTAGTGGAATATTATCACAGTTCGTTTAAAAAAATGATTATTCATATTCTTTAGGCAGAGAGACGTATCAGTAATATTTGGAGGCCCACAAGTACATACCATTAGTATCTCGCATCTCTTCTTCTCGCTTCTTCATGTATGCAAAGTCATTAACAATAGACTCTGAAAGATCCTCCAGTCGTCGCAGCTCCAGCTCCAATGGCTTCAGCTTTTCCACTTTAGCAATCTGATAAAAGAAGAAATTATATGTCACTTATCCAGAAGGTACCAACCCATTCCCATTCAAATGTAGACCTCTTTTAGAATGCAGTTTACTATATCAACAAATAATACAGGGTATATCGTAAAGAGATGCTTTTTATTAACATAATTTTTTGTAAGTATAGGTAGTCCTCACTTACCAATCAGAATTGGGACCAGCAACTCCATCACTAAGCAATGCAGTCATAAAGTTAAAAGTCACATGTGCGCACCTGACTTATAACGTCAGTTTGTCAGTCCCGGCTGCAGTTGTTAAGCGAATTACTGTGGGCCATTAAGTGCGATGTCACATGACCATGACGTGACTTCCTGCTGGCTTCCCCATTGACTTTGCTTTTTGGAAGCCAGCTGTGAAGGTCGCAAATGGTGATCATGTGACTATGGGACATTTTGACTGTCATAAATGCGCACCAGTTGCCAAGCGCCCAAATTGTGATCATGTGACCATGGAACGCTGCTATAGCTGCATCTTCAAGGACCAGTCATAAGTCTCCTTTTTCAGCGTTGTTGTAACTTCAAATGGTCGCTGAACAAATGCTCGGTAAGCAAGGACTACCTGTCTACAGCTCTTTGAGCAGGCTTCCAGGGCAATAAGGACAGCTGACAAATAATTACATGTTTATTTATGCAGATGTGGTACAAACATTTCCTCCACTATCTACTGAGTAGCAAATTAATTTCAGATTATTTTCCAGCATTTCTGAACTAATCCCATCTATGCCCCCATCACTAATATGAAGATTCCTGATCTCAAAATGCAGTTAGGTTATTATTTTAAAACCTTAAACAGACAAAGTTGCCTTAATTGAAAGCAGACAATAGGTGCATCTGGATCAGCACTGTCTACTCTGACCAGACATGACTCCACACATCCTGCTACTTCAGATTCTTTTAATGCTAGGAAGCCCACAGCCAATACTTCCTCTTTTGCCACAATAAACAGTCCAATTCTTGCTTGGCTGTGATCAGATTATAAAGAATGCACAGAATGGGAAGGGCAGAATTTCAGTATCCCTAAAATCTCATTTCCTATCCATCACCAGACACAAATGTTCATAGGCACAAAATTGGCACAAGTAATAGCTCTAATATCTGGAAGTAATTCTATTGCTAAGCAACCGATTCTTGCTGAAGCCAAAACCACTTTCTTTTTCCTATCTAACATAGTATGCAACTCTGGCTGAACACTAGAGGATGGCAGCCAATAGGAAGAAGAACAGCAAACCAAGTGCTTCATGCTGAAAATACAAAACATATTGACTATCCACTGTATGTTTGGTTCAAGCTAATTATAGTCTCCTTTTTAACTAGAAGTATAATATTTCATCAATCAATTGGGATAGATGTAGACATCTTCATTTTTTGCCATTTTGTGTGGCTAGCAGGGGGCACCCTCACTGCAGAGCTATCACCTTGCTGGAATCATGATGAATATGAGAGGTTAAAACCTCAGGATCACTCCCACCACCTTCACAGATGGTGGTCTGGCCATGACAACAGCAATCTGTCAACATCAGGGATACTGTGTTAGAGATGAGGATTAAAGATGGACTCCAACCTTGAAAGGGCAGTAATTTTCTATTCATTTCCCTCAACTTCATGTATAAATAGTGCTTAATGAGAAGGGCAAATATCTTACTTTCCTCCTTTGTCAATTATTAAAAAAATGTTCCAGCTGCCATGATTCCCATAATTTTCCTCATTAACAGGAAGAACATCTGACTTCCTTCACTTACAAACCAAAATTTTAATTTTTCTATCTTGACGACAGTTGAGCTCTAGTTGATTTTACCAAAAATCTAAATAATTGTTAATAATGTTAAATAATTTTAAGGTACATTCATCTTTCAAATGGCAATGAAATCTCATATGATCAGAAATGCTACATGGGAGCAGTAGAAGTGGCTTTAAGATTTTTAAGTTTAATTGCAAGAGGATTTTGACTGTAATCCTAAATATATTTCCTACTGAACATTTTCTAAGAGTTACTTTGCAAGCAAGCAAGCATTGTTAACATATCTGAGCACGGAATATACAATAGTAGATTTAAACTACTATCAGCAGTTTATTGGAAGGCCACGAGAGGGCAATCAAACTTTGATGACTGCAAATATAGCAGCTTTTTTTTTTTTTTTTACAGAATTTCACCAAAAAAAAGAAACAGAGCCTAGAAAGATACATTACCAGATTCTAGTACAATTATGATGTTTTCAAAGCAACCTCTACACTGTAGGTATGCTTTATCAAGAACTTTCCTCTTTCTGAAAGCCTTGGGGAAAAACATTTATGAGTGATCATAAACTGCAGAATTTAGGCCTAAATTACAGAACAATGTGCACATTCTCTTAAAAGTAAATCCTACTGAATTCAATAGGATACTTCCTCTTAAGTGTCTTTGGAATAAAAGCCTTAAATGGAATGTTTTGTGAAATAATACAGGAACTTGTTTTAAAGTAAGATTTAATGTTATTAATAATAATGTATTTTAAACTTTTTTAAAGGAATGAACAAATAGTTTCTAAACAAGTCCAATTTAAAGACAATGATCCAATTTCACCCATTTCGATGACTTCAGCAAATTTTAAAAACTTCAGTAGGTACAAGCAATAGCCAGTGAAGTTAGATAGTGGGCACAGCATCAAAATGGTGTGAAAACAGCATCACACTTTGAGTCCAAGGACGTAAACAGCATCACATGAATGAAGAAAGCAGAGATAAAGGCAGCAAAAGCAGAGATATACCTCCTCATAGTTTTTTGCTTCCACTCCGTGCTTCATGTTCAAGGTCACAAGCTGGTCTGGCATCCGCCCTGTTCCTGGAAGTGCAATGAAAGGATTCATTGTATGCAGTACTTTGGCTGCTAGGAAATTCCCAGCCCTGCTCCCCTCCCCATTATAGAGGGATTTATAGCTCTCCCTCCATAAGCCTCTGAATAGCTAAAGAGGCAGCCAAATTGTTACTATAATCACAGAAAAATCTACAGATAGTGCTTGTTGAAGGAAGAATTCCCAAAAGTAATAAGAAACTGTTACAACTACGCATGTGGAGAATGCAGAATACAAGGCACTCCAATTTCCTGATCTTCAGTCTACCCACAAGCAGTAAGAAAATATACAAGTACCATTTAATAATGCCAGATTAGCTAGCTGGAACTAAAAGTCCAATTCTATCCAAATGGAAAAAGTAGAAAGCCAAATGGTATATTAAATGGAACAGATGAAATTACTGACTTTGAAAAGCAGACCACCTAGCCAACTTCTAAACCATCTGGGAAATTGCTAAAAATACTAGCTTGCTCTGTTTTCTTTCTTCCTTTTCTCCCAATTCAAACTTTACCATTAGCTCCGTCATAAATAAACCTTAAGCAACTAGGTTGGCAAAGAGAACTTTGTCATTAATCCTCAATGAATGTTGGTAATAAATTACATGCAAATGTACACTCATAGATATAAAAAAACAACACAGCATATCTTCAGCTCAACTCCAAGCAAATTTTTGTGCCCATGTATAAAAATCACATCCTTGGTCCTTTACCTTGTATATACGAAGCTCTCTGGTTTGTTGTACACAGTGCAAGTAACTGTTCAATCTCCAAAAGACTCCAAGTATTGACTTACGGTGAGGATATGGTAAACTGAAACAGGGATGACTTTATGGCTGAAATTCGGGGCTGGATGCGAGATCCGAACCAGTGAAATCTCTCCAGAGAAAGGAGAGATTTTGAGATAGCCCACATGCACTCCAGACAGCTGCTCCTTGTAAGTAAACTGCAGGAATGGAAGTTTTTGCAGTTGGCTCGTGAGTCAAGTGGCTGGGAGTCAAGGGATTACATCTAAACTCATAGTTGTAATGTAGCCTTTAAGGACTCAAAGTTCAGCTGATCCTCATTTCTTAATCACTTTGGAATTAACTTTTTATTGCTTTTTAATATTGAGAACCTCTGGTACGGCAAGTATTTATCGACTTGATGGGTGAGTTTCCTTCAATCCACTATGAAAGAAGTTTTAAGTATGTGTTTAAGGATTTATTTTTAAAAAAATCTTTTTTTGGAATTAACAGCAAAGGGATGATTAAAATGTTAATTTTAGAAAGTTATAAATGGACTAAGGTCCAGATGGGTTTAATAAAAGTTGGAAATTGATTATAAGAATCCTTCAGGGGGAAACTATTCATGTTTTTGCATTTGGAGGGAAAACAACATGATGAGACTTTGAAAACTGGACATTAGAGGGCACCAGAAGGAAATAAAACAATGGATGTATTGAAAGGTGTTGTGAACAATAGACTGAAAAGTTAGTTTTAAAGATTTCTGCCATTATTGACAGACTATACCATGCTATGGAAGAGAAACAAGTTTTAATGGACAAGACTGAAATTTATTCAAATGTGGAATTAAAAATGACAAGCTACAAGAAGGATATGGAAAAAGATGAAATACTGAATATACAAATGAAAACAGCTGATGTTCTAATAACTAAAATGGATGTACAAATAATAGACCAGAAGAATGACTTGGATAATCTTTCTATATTGGATTTACAAAAGGGATTTATTAAGGTTGTCAGTGATTTTGTGAGAAGAGAAAACAAGATAATGAAAAGAAACCAAGTGTTTGGACATTATTTGAAGGGACTAAAGATTAAGATTGTTGGGAGCAAGGGGAAGGAATATAAAGTTGTTTTATCTGTCCCAAGGTTAAAATAGATAGGTTGTTACTTCTGGAAATTTTAATGGATTTTCTTTGACCAGGACTGGATGATGAAGTTTTAAGGTTTTGTTTATAGATAAGAGTTGTATGTGATGGAGTTTGTTTAATGTATTTTAAATTTACCTGATTAAGGTTAAAATAGTTATGTTATTTCTGGTAACTTTTATTAGATTTTTATTGACTAGATTTGAACAATGAGGTTTGGGGGATTTGTTTAATAATAGAAAATGAGATATAAATGTAAAAGGAAGTAATTCAAGTGGGTTTATTAGATCAAGTTTATAATAGATAGGTTGTTATTTCTGGTAGCCCTTAATGGACTTTTGCTGATGGGTTTTAAAGATTTGGTTTTTAAAAGATGGGTTTTAAAGATTTTTTATAGAGAATGAGGTGAGATATGGGATGAAGAGATTGTGTGTTGTATTTTAAGAGATGGTGGTAAGTTGCTAAAATTATTAAATTATAATTATAAAATTATAAAAATAATTATAATTATAAAATTATTAGATCAAGTTTATAATAGATAGGTTGTTATTTCTGGTAGCCCTTAATGGACTTTTGCTGATGGGTTTTAAAGATTTGGTTTTTAAAAGATGGGTTTTAAAGATTTGTTTACAGAGAATGAGGTGAGATATGGGATGAAGAGATTGTGTGTTGTATTTTAAGAGATGGTGGTAAGTTGCTAAAATTGCTTATGCTTGCTGGGAAGAAAGGGAAGTTATTTTTTGCACTTTTTATTTTTTCTTTACCTTTGTATTTTTTATAGTTTGTATTAGTTTTATCTGTACATGTAATCTTCAGTAAAATTATTTCATAAGACTCCAAGTATCACTGATTTATCTACACAAATGAAGCCTTATAGTCATTATTTACCTACCCTAAAGTGGTGGTATGATTGGCTTTCTGATACTGAAAAGAACTGACATCTCTCTTAAGAAAATCAATGGAAAATGTTTTTTTGCACACAGTTTAATTCTACATACAAGTGTTTGATTAGTTATGATAATTCATATACCGAGTTCTGGAAAAAGGAAGGTAGATCAGGAAAGGGGAAAAAATGGAAGATCTACCTTCAGTTGAAATCTCTGTTCAACAATACCTTGAATGTAAATTACAGCAAGTTTACTAAAGTCTTGTAGAATTTAACATGGCTCATTTTCATTCATGTACACATCTATCTAGAAGAAAGACCTTCTGAGAAAAAAGATGCTCTATTTTCAAACATTCATGAATAGAATAAGGGTACATGCATAAGGTTAGACAACACAATATTTTAGTCTAAAGAGATTTTTTTGCTTTTGGTCTTTAATTTTTGGGGGAAGAAAAGATATTTCTACTTTAAGATAATTTTAGGTAACATTCTCCCTTATTCTCTGATTCCAAATCACCTGTTTTTAATACCCATTACTTCTAAGAACATGAGTTTAGGTTTTAAGTGAGAAATATGAGAAAAGAAGTTTGCAAAATGGAAGTTATATGGCAGAATAACAAATAAGGCTATGTCAAGTCAGACACTACACTATTTAAAAGGTATTTTAAAAATGGGACACAAGAAGGAGCCAATCATAGGGGATCCAACAATCAGAACTTGATCACTCTGCTGTCCAGTTTAGCATCTTAGGAAACAGAGCTTTAAATGGAAAAATAGCATAAATATGTGAGTTTGATTTTCATGTTTAAAAATAAAGGATGTCCTATTCTGAACTCTTTACCTTGCACAGTACAATAAATTTCAAGTTTAGGGGGAAGGAGGCTAGCGTCCTGCTCTGTCTTCATTTCACAAAAGAAACCCTAGCTAGAACATGCATATCTGTTCTCCAGCGAGAAGGCATCAAACACTGGCAGTGTACCATAATGCAGCAATAGCAATTTTTGGAACCTATCTACCAACACCTTGAAGCCAGTGGTAGCCAAAGGTTCTCTTGCCGTGAAACCTGATGTATTATGGCAAGAAGCAAGCAAGCGGAGCTATGAGCACAAACAGCTGCATATACATCTGGGGGATCCACAAAGTTAGCTGCTATAGATTCAGTGGAGGAAGCAAGGAAATCTTAACCCCCTGGCCTGCCTCCTTTGCTTATAATAAATTCTGAGAGTTTCATATGATGTAGTTGTTTCACAGAATGTATGCCAACATTTCTGTCTCAAGATGGAAATAATATTGTTCTATATTCTATTTCACAAATAGATGGCAGCACAATACAGTAAGAAATATTTTGTATGGACAAGAGAAAGAAATGCCCTCCTTCAGTTGATGGAAATGGTGCTGCTGCTAATAATAATGATTTCTAATATACCAAAGTGTAGCTTTTGAAATAGTAGAGGACAAAAAAAAAAAGTCCCCAATCTCTATGTCACAATTGCTACTTGTTTCTATGAAAATGAATTCCAATTATAGCCACGAAATCAATTTGGACATACCCATTTAAGAAACAATTCTTAAAACTGCATTTCATATCTGTAGTCAATAAACATGACTGAAATCAGCAAGGTTTCCTTTTGAATTAATATACAAATAATTGCACTGTATATACTTAAACTACAGAAATTTTAGCAACCTTTGGGTCCTTAGGTTACAACAGCAGAAATATACAAGAACAGCATCTAGGAACTATTAGGACAAATTGATAAAAATAGTAGGAACTGTCAGGATAATAAATACCTAAAGTACTTTCAACATATAAAAAAATAGAATGAAAAAATATTCTAATGGACTTCAAAAAATAGAAATCCACATTGCTAATGAGAAAAGTTTCCAAAATATCCTTTCCAAATCATTTTATGATTCTATGTTGCTATGTTTATTTAGCTCAGAAAAAAATGGTATTCAAAATAAAAGTACAAATAAGGAAGTATAGTATGTTTGATGGATAAAATTACAACATAAGCAGATGATTCTTTCCACTTTAAGCAAACCAGAATATTCAATAACTTGTTTTGACAAGTTTTTTTGCCAGCACAGAAAAGAACTACCAGAAGGCAGGATTCATGTGAAAAATAGTTTGCAAAATATTTTTGCCACAAATCCTTTCTTAATCCATATGGAATTAATGAGCCCTATAAAAATCAAAATGGGATCAGTGCATCATTAACTGGTAGACCATGGGTAGAATTAAGTGCCACATTATTCCCCTGTAAATCATAGAAGGATTAAGAGCATTTTCAAGTCTCAGCAAATACACTAACCATAGTTAGATGTTGCTTTCAAAAAGCACATATAACACTTTCAGGTACAGTGTACAACTAAACTACTTTCAGTGCCACTCTAACTCACCTTCTCCTCAGTTGGCACTAGATGTACAGGAGCACTGAATGCTGTTGGGACACCTGTGCTTTTCTCCATGTAGCCTTTCTATAGAAAAAGACTGGGCAGAGGTGAATGTTGGGTGCCCCTTCCTAAAAGCATACTGAGTACCTAGAAAGTGCAGTACTGAAGCATGTGGTCTTACTTTCCTTTCCCTTTCCATCTTTTCATCAGAGGCTTTCTTTGTACCTATCGGGGGCTGCAGCTCCAGCACCCTGGAAACCAGAGAAAAGACAACATACTTCCATTCTCCTCATTGGCTCTAGATCCAGAGGGAAGAATCTCTCTGAAACTTTTCAGCAAAATATGAACAGAAAAACAAGATTAAAGAGTTGACAACAACAAAAGTCCCAGATCTGAACAAACAATGATTGAATGTTTATATAAGGGTTATTTTTAAAGGCATCCTGGCCTAAAGGACACAGGAATGCATTTAAGACTAATTAATCAAAATTGATCTGATAAATATGACTGGTATATATGTCATTCCTCTCAAAGTTCAGCATATGGTAGAAGTATGAGGAAAACCTGCAAAGATAGGAGTGACTTTGCAGCCTGAACAGCATAGTAAATGACGCAAGAAAAAATATTGTGTTAGCAATTCTGCACTTACTGTGGGATCCTCTATAAGTCTTGCAAGCCATCTCTTCCCTCTATGGGATATTTGTGAAAAAAAAAAAGTGCCTTTCACTTCCTCTTCCTCATTTTTGTGGCTATGGGCTTGAGAAATCCCAATTGCTCAAACTCCACCTGCCTCAACGGCCCAAATAACTGTTGTTTTAGTTTTGGCTTCCCCAGGCAGATATAGCCGTACTACTGCTAGAACTGCCAAAGGATGTTTACCTACTTCACAAACAGCATGTAAAAAACTGACATTCCTTATAATCTATAATGCTCAGATCGTAACAAAACCAAACAAATGTTTAGTGGTATTTCCTTTTATACAGACTTCACCCAGACTACTGTGTTGATATAGAACTTGACACTAAGACTGTCAAATATGAAGTTCTAAATACTTTTTGTAGGGTGCAGGCAATTCAGCAACATCCTTCAAAAGGCAGAAATAGGCAAGCAAGAATTCTGATAAAATCTCAGAGCTTCCCTCAGTGCTGAGTGTACAACAGTATTTATGAGCTGATAATACAGTATAGGAAATACAATACTTAGAAAATTCATCTATGGTGGTGAGTACAAGAAACTTCTTCAAGACTCAAGCAAACTTTCTTCAAGTGCTATCTAACTCTGATCAGAAGCAGTATGAAAGACATGGAGGACTATGCAGTACTTCTGCTGAATTCTGATCCTGACAGAAAGATGGACAAATGTGTCACTTCTCAAGGAACCATTAGCTCTAACACTTGTTGGGCAACTGTCCACCAGATGAGGTTACACAACCAATGCCTTGTACACTTCTTTTTTCCTCACATGAAACAGAGCAAAGCACCAATCCAAGGGATCCTCAACCTTTACAACCACACATCATGTATATATCAATAAAAGGTCTTCCTGCCTGACTCAAAGAAATTAGCAGATGTCCAACAAATAGATCAAATTCCATCACCAAGGATTATAAAGTGCTCTAGTGTTCAAGTATCACCAAATTTGGTCTAATATCTAGACTGAGTCCCTACAAAGGAAAGAAGGAAAAGATAAGAGCAGGCAGAATCTTTCAACACCTCCTATGTGAAAAAATATGTGAAGCAAGACTAGAGGACAAAAGATGTAATATCTATTTCAGGAAGAAATCAGAAAAGTGGCAAATTTATTTATTTATTGAATTTATATAGCCATCTATCTCACTTACATGTGACTCTGGGAGGCATACAAAATTAAAACTAGCTAAAGACTCAATATAATGTATCCACTGAAACAGTTAAAAACAATTAAAATCAATGCCCTCTCCGTGTTCTGCATTTTCTGGCTAGAAATATTAAAAATTATTGGTTGTGCCCATATTTTGTGAATTTTGAATGGGAGTATTTTTTTCACTGATTTGGTTAAGCTGAACATATGTTAGTATGTTATGTGAACCAAGTGAAAAAATCACTTGGTTCACATAACATACTAACATAAACTATGGGTTACAAATAATAAAGGCATTTCAAAATACACTAAGTGAAAAACAAACTATTATAGTTTAATGCAACCTACAAACCAGTCCAAGCAGCTGAATAAGATTTTGTCTATTGCATACTTCTTTTGTAACACTGTTATTGTATTTCATATTTTAAATTGTTTTTCTATCCAGCCAATTATAATTGCACTATTGGTCAAGTGCAAGCATTTCTGGGAAGGAATGCAGATGCTGATCTTCATCAGTAATTTTAGAAGCATGTGACTAAGTATTCTTATGTACTTCATTTCAAAAGATCCAAAACATTTGGCAAAACAGATATCCCTGCTTCATACCCAAAGTTATCCTTTTAAATGAACTCTACAAAGAAAGTAAAGAGGAGCTCATCAAGAGCATCTAACTTACACTTACCCACAGGGAGTTTGCTTTCAAAGCAAGCCTCAAACATGTCATAGTCCTCTGTGGTGAAAGCAAATTTGCCCTTAGTAGCATCCTCTTTGATATAAAGAATGTGTCCAGCTGTGTCAGTAATCTGTAAGAAATATTAAGAAGAAAAGAAGCAAGCAAGTTAATAGCTAAATATTGGTGGGAGGGGGGAATCTTCCAAGATACAGTTATTCTTTCCCTTTTGGCCATTTTCATAGCTGAAGATTTGAGTTTTAATTTAATTTAATAAAGCCCTGGGTTATTATTCTCTATCATCTTAAAGAGTTTACATTAGTGTAACAGTATTCACTAAGCAAAAAGCAGTGTCTCAAAAGAAGGCATAGTGTGACTGAAGAGCTCATTCATTTCATTAAAAGTAGATTATCAGCAGCTCTGGGAAAGGCAAATGATAGCTTACACTTAGACAACTGTACTTAATTAACTTGGCAAACTACATAAGTGCTTTTCCCCACTGGCAAAATAGCAATACATCAAATAAGATTACAGTATTCTTAAAACATGATAAAATATATTTAAACTCTGATTTTGTGCAGTAAATGGTTATAAGAATTCTCAAATATGGTTCTTCCAGTACAAAACAGAATCATACATGATGTTCTGAACCAGATATTCCCAATATCTGGCTGAATCTGGCAATAGATGACAGCTGCCTATATACCACTAGGCATATTGCTTCTCAAACTATGGGCAAACTGCTTAAAAGTCAACCCACACAACTGTGGGGGAACAAGCAGCCTGAAAGATGTTCCACAAATGCTTGTGCTGTAATCACATCAGCTCCACCCCCTCCATACACAAACATAGTGTCAGCCTGAACAATAAGTACCCATACACAATTGGGACAAAGTGGGATGACAGCTAAAGAACCTCCTCTAAGCAGCCAACAGTTACATTAGATAAACTCCTCCACAATCAAAAGCATAACTGTTAGTGTTGAGGTGGCTTGATAAATAAATTAACATAGCAATGAATTAACCTGAACAAAAATGACATAATGAAAAAGAATTACAGTAATTAAAAAGTTTCCTGCTCTATACCTATGCTGTTTTATACAAAACTGTTCACTGTGCAGTCTGGAAATTATTATGTGATCACTAGTAACTGGACTATTAAATTGTTTATGCAACCAGCTGCTCCAAAGCTTTAAAAAAAAAACCTATTCTGAATGAATAAGCACCCTATATGCTCTGAAGCTACCTGGTGAACCACCAAAATTGGCAAATAAAAACAAATTGCTGGTGCACAGAATCCCAGTGCACTATTGCAGTCTTCTGGAAAAAGCAAATCCCTAAAGTAGGACTTCCAACAAAGCTAAAACTTATTTGACCAGTATGCTAAACATTTGGATAGGAAATAAACTATTGCTACAGCAATAGAACTTTACATTTTCTGGGAACTTATAGCCACAGGATCTCTCAGTAATGTTAGACAAAAGGAAGTGTGTTACACATGGATCTTTTAGAACTATCAAAAATGTTCATTGCCTTGTTGTCTTTCTTAGATATAGTTAAAATGTTTAAATATGTTTTATTTTCAAAAATCTTTATAATTTATACATCATTTGAACATATTCAAAACAGTAAGCATCTGTGTAACTCACTATCAAAGCAAAAATTAAATTGTGCCAAAACATGTCCAGTCTGAATCATCTGATGATTTGGAAAGCAATTCCAAATAAACTATGTAAAAAGAAAATATGATATGCTTCTCAAAATTAAGTATAACATACTTGTTTAAGAGAGACACAGAACTACCTCAGAGTAGTACAGAAAATACTAAATTATAAAAATAGCTGGCTGCCTGAACTGCAAAAAATTCTGATAGAATTAACAGAACGCTGGGTTTATCTTGGGTAGAAAAGAAAAAAGGTGAAGACTCCTTCAAGTCATGCTCGACTTCTGGTGGTTACCTAGATATGTCCATTCAATTTTCTTGGCAACAATATAGAAATTGTTTGCCACTGCCTTTTCTCTGTAACTTTTTTTTTTTTTTTAAACTTCCAAGCCCTGAAATTCCCGGCCTGACCATACTAGCCTTGTTCAAGATCAGCCAAGGTCAGCTATCTGGATAAGGAATGCTTTAGTTCAAATCTCTATTTTACTCAACAGAAGCACTGAATATCATGTTTCACCTTGATCTCCTTATTCAATTATGTGAGAACGAGTCACAAAATAGCCAGCACGTTGGTGTAACAGTCTGCAAAAAATAATTATATGCACACTATGTTTTCTACATGATGGCCAGTGCTTTCTTGTTTTGTCTTTATTCATTTCACTTCTCTTCAACAAAATACTTAAACAAGAAATTAGTCCTATCACAAGAGCCATCTTGCTTTTAAATACAACTATGCCATTCTTTTATAGCATTCCACATACAGTTAAGTGAGGGGATTTGGTTTTGTCATCTGACATCTCAGATTTATTTATCAAATTTCTCCCCCGCCCATCTCCCCCCAATGGGGGAACTCTGGGCGACTCACAGAGAACATTAAAAACATAAATACAGTGGTACCTCGGGTCACGAACGCTTCTGTTCACGACCAATTTGGGTCACGAACAGCACCGTTCGCA